GAGCACAACAAGCTAAGGGATGGATTACTCACGTTTTTGAAGCTGTGGGGGGTTTGTGGTTGAAGAAGCTTGAGAGAAACGGTATTGTGTGCGTTTGAGGAGAGGGGAAATGAAGTGAAAATGAGCCTGATCTATATATAGATAGTGGGTGTGCGGCCACACACTCATGTGTGCGGTCTTATACTCTTTTTGATGGAGTGTTTAGCCTTTTTGCAACCCTAATCTTAAACCAACCCATCCCTAATTCAAACTTTGATTGTACAAGGCTTTAGATCATCAAAACAGACTCAAAACAAATGCTAAAAGATAGCTAAAACGAGTTTAACTTTGATAGAATTGGCTAAGTGTACAAGATAAAAGTTTCGGGTTATCACATCACCCCCCCCCCCCCCCCGTTAGAGGGAATATCGCCCCGAAATTAAAGAATAAAGTTGTAACTCGTGGACTTGGAAATGATGGGGTACTTTTGTTTCTTGGATTGTCATGCTCCCAAGTGAATTCAAGTTCTCATTTGGTATCCCAGTGAACCTTTACTATCTGGATACGATGTTCGTATCGTGCGCTGGACTTCCTAGTCCATGAGTTCAAATGATTCCTACATTAAGTATAAACTCTCGTTTAACTCAATATTGTCGAGGGGAATCGCAAGTGTCTCATCATACATACACTTATTTAGGTTTGGCTCGTGAAAGACGGGATGCACGTTGCTAAGTTCTCGAGGTAACCTTGCTAAACCGGTCGGAGGCAATAATTATAGGTATCCCATGAGAACGGATTACTTCTCGAAGGTATACACAAGTGAGTCTCTCTTTTTTGTACTCGGGATCTCGCTGGATGTTTCAACAGATCTTCACTGTCGTATCCACTGGTTCTGATTCATACTCTTCACATGAATACCTTCGAGTTTCGAAGGGAGATGAATTTTCGAAGTTCACATCTAATTGTCGATATGAGTGACAGGAGTTTTGCGATCAAACGATTTAAGACAAAAGGGGTTTGGTATAACATAGACTCAGTCAAACTAAACAGGATGATGTCATAGAATCGCGCGTTAAGTTAGTTTTGAAGGATCATTTTGTTAGGACATTGATGCCCTTGCGTTTGACTAGAAGTTAACAGGTACTACTAACACGAAGGTTCTGATGTTTTGAAACTATGAAATTTCATGAAATGGTTCTTACTAGATCTCCCTACGATCGTTTGGTGTACACAAGCCGTATATAATTACAACTGAATTTAATGTATTCACTTTGTTGTCATAACTTACTCACTGGAGCTTTAAATCCTATAAGAATGTCGTGATTTAATTTGGACGAGGAAATAATCACGTTTATGAGCAATTATAGGGGTTTTCGAAAACGTACCAAAACATAGCAGGGTTCTTTGATGCTTCCTCATTCCTTGAGGTCATACTCCTCTTGTTTCCTCATTGTTCTTCTCTGTTGTGCAGTCTCTTTTGAAATGTCTCATTTCTCCACACGTACAACACAGTTTAACTATGCTAGAATTGGTAGTGGAAGTGATGTGTTGAGTCGGGATTTTTATGAAACGAGCTTCCTGGCCATCCTTAACCCTTGGACAATTTCTTTCGAAATGTCCGGGTTCGGCATAATTGTAGCAAACCCGAACCATCTTTACACCAGAAATCCAGGTGCTTGGCTGTGCAGGGGCCCTGCAGTATCGTGTGGTGTGTCCTTTCCTATTGCAGTTCTTACATTGAAGTTTGCCGCTCTTTCGTAAGTAGTGGAAGTTGCATTTCTCACAAATTGGAAGTTTTCCAGCATATTGCCGCATTGGTGTTGGCACTGGTAGGGTGGATGTGGTGGCTGTAGGAGTTATCTCGGGTTGTCGTCCCTTGGCAAGTTTCTGAGACGACTTGTACTTCATCTCGATCCAAAAATTTTGTTTGGCGCTCTTAGTTTTAGGAGTTGGAGTGTCCTTCTGGATAAGCCCTTGTAGGTTTCCTGGTGTATTGCTACAGTTCGTGGTGTGGAAAATGTCCCCATTCCCATTTAGGTTGTTAACATTAAGAACAACTAGGGCGGCTGCTACGACTGCTGTGACAATAGCTTGGAACGTAGCTGAGTCCATCTGGAGGACTAGTGTCTTACTGGTGGGTTGGTTACGTTCCTTTGGAGGCATGATTCTGCTACATGTCAAGAAAAGAAGCTTGTGAGCAACAATGGTTGCCTCTAGATGTATCCAAAATGTTTATCTATACATTGGGATTTCCCATTTTACTATCCGACTCTCATTGATTCGACCCACATCCCCATGATGTGGTCCTAGCAAGAATAGAAAAAGATTTGAACACATTAAATTTCACATACAATAAACTTACGAACTCCTTGTTGTTCAGCTCATTGCGCTGGCTGGATAACTCTCACATTTTCGTCGGCTCTAGACGATATGGAGATTTAGCTATAAGGGTAGTTCCGGGGATCAAGTTGATACGAGATTCACTTGAAACGCGGAAGAAATCCCTGGAATGTCTTTGGGGAAGACATTAGGAAAGTTGCATACTTCGGAGATGCTCTCTGGGCCTTTAACTTTTGCGTCTTATCGACAACATTAACTAGGAATGCATGACATCCCTTTCGCAGATACTTTCACTACTAGAAAAACAGCCTTTTATGACGCGCGAACCATGACACGCGCTCTTTTATGATACGCATTAGTGTGTGCCCTATAAATAATGTCTACTCTCGGAAAATTAGAAGGATTTAGGTTACGCATTTTCGCGCGTGCTAAAATAAGTGTCACATTGAAAAAAAAAAACACGGGGGGCACATAACTTAAAATGGGCATCCTCTATGTATGTCGCTTTATATTTTTTTAATGAAACGCGGGGTTAGTTCTTTTGGGGGAAATGAAAGTCCGAAAAGTTTGAAAGGCCCGCCATGAAGGGACGATTCTACTTCTTTTTTCAAAAATCCTATTCAACATATGCTGACTCTCACACGCACACACTTATCACTATCTCTATCTCTATCCATCTCTCTCTCTCTCAAACACACATCTCTATCTCTATCTCTCTCTCTCAAACACACACACACACACAAAATTGAAGGGACGATTCTAGGGTTTTTTTCTAGAACCATTCAAAACGCAAAGGAGTCCTCTTTACAATAGGTTGGTGACATCGTCTCACCTCACCTCGTCGTCGATTGTGACTCCTCGAAGATTTAGGGTTGTGCTCGGTGTTGTGCTCGGTGATTCAGCAACTAACTGAGGTCTAAGGTTACGTGGTTGTGTTTGGTAATAATGGAAATAGAGAATATATTGTTTTTACAATCAGATAAGCCTTCTGCTAACCGGTATGCCCCCTCTTCTCTTTTTAATTCTATCACAGCTCTGTCCTTACCCTTCTTCTTCTTATTATTTTTTGGCTGATGTTTTACCTTGAGGAATATACTATGGAGGCGATGTTGGGGGCAAAGAAGGAATTTCAGCAGTGGAACTTATTCCATCTGATGGAGGAGATGCCTAAAGAGGGGCATTTTCAGGGGCATTTTCGGAAATATGAAGTTTTTCCAATATATCAAAACAGTTAGTCTTCCAAAAATTCATAGAGGTACTTCCATCTGGCATTCTTTTTGATGAACTATTACCATTTATCAGGGTCCTCATTGATGTATATCGCATGGGAAATCTTAGTGTTGTTTTTGATGTGCCAAGACAATGGGACTTTTGACAGCAAAAAGCATTGGAAGATCTTGTGATGTCCCTCATTTTACCTGTGTATGTGTTGCTATGCCCCTCATTTGAGCCCGACTACTTTGTAGGTTGGCTATTTGTTGTCTAAGCCTGATCAATTGGCATGCTAAAATCTTTGTTGATGCCTAATCAAACCACATGTTACTACTCATTAATAGTTAGACGTGATCAAAAAACTTAGGAATCCTAATTTAAGTAGATCTTTATTGCACACCAATTGTTTGATGATATGCCTTAGTGACAATGTGTATGATTTTTTTCTTCTTATATGATAATCAGCAATCTTGCTGCTATAAAAGAGATGATCGGATGGCTAAAGGTAATTAAGAGACATGATTAATTATAGAATGTTGAAATAGGACAAGAAGAAGAAAATGTTCTATAGTCCTAATGCTTTATGTATGTTCTAGTTGATTCTCAATTTGGGATCCCATTAATGGATCTCAACTATAATTTGATAATGGTCATTGCAGAATGTTTTTAGAATAAGAGGAATCGGAAAGCTTGATAATTATTAATCTCTTGTTTGTGCGTATGTATACTTCATGAATCATGATTTATTATTTTTCCTATATTTCTTATGCATTAATTAACAAGTCTGACTTGTCAACATCTGTAGAATGCAAATGATCCCACAATAGGATTCTTGTTGGATGGAATGGACCATCTTTGCTAACTAGTATGAAAATACATTGCAGGTGAAGCTTTAAAGGTTTAATTACATTTTTGCCCTTGACAATCGTTGGGTAATTATACTAAACAATCATTGGGGAATTATAATCATCAATCGCCATGTGGTTAAACTAGGTAAGATGAGAGATTTATTTTCTTATTCTTTTATTGGGTTTCAAAGTTTTCTTATTCTTTTATTGGGTTTCAAAGATTCAGAGTCAGAAGCTCAGAACTGGATTTTACTAAAACCCAGTTCTATTTACTGTTAGCACCCCATTTATGAATGCCCTGTTCTCTCCAATATTGAACCCAAACAGATCAAAGTTCGGTTCCAAGATCAATGGTATGATTATGAATATAGCAATTTTTTCTTCCAAATCTCTTTTCAAATGGTTGTGTAGGTTTAACTTTGAACCTTGCGGTTGTTAATGATCTTTACAGATGCAAGGAGAAAAAGGGAAATAGGCTTCCCATCTTTAGTTTCTGAATCCAAAGCTTTTAATGGAGGAAAATTATAGCTTTTAATGGAGGAAAATGATAGGTTGCAGAAGCAAGTGTCACACCTGTATACATAATGTTTGACAATTTTATTGATATTATGGTAAGCAACAATGAATCAAAATTACACATATGATGGATTGTACAAGGTAGACTAATAGACACTTTGGGATTTCTTTTAGAATAAATAGGTAATAATTTTATATAAACATTAAAATTATACTTGTTTTTCTTTTTCAGGTTGTCAAATATTGGGCAGAAAAAGGGGTTTCAGGTTTCTATGTTTACAAGTTTCTTCTCAAGCGTATGGAAGGGCAGCCTTCTTTAGTGACTGACATAGCTAATTTGTTGTTTTTAATGTTAGGATGGTATGTGATGACATCAGTAGAGGCCTTGATAATATTCCCATTCCAGCAACAAATTTAGTTGATGATCCACCTGTTCCCCCAACTGGCATGTTACTTACACTGCCTCAATTTTTTTTATTAAATTAAACTACATCTATGATCCATGATCTATGATTATGATGATGTGTTATTAATTTTTTTTATTGCAATGTGAATGTGATAACATGACAGGTTACAAGTATATCAAGTATATTAAAGTTTCAAACAATGTTGTGGTCCCTGGTAGTGCCTCTAGATGCACCTGCATTAAAGAAGGCAAATATAGGAATTGCCATGGACTCAGGCACAACAGTTGCAAAGGTATGTTTGATGACTTTTTGACTAGTCAACTCTTTCTTATGTTGACTTTATGGTTATAATATAGCAAATTAATAATAATTATTATCAGAGTCCTTCAGACGTGGTTTTGACTGATGACAATTTTGCTACAATAGTTGCAGTAATGAGACTTTTTAAAGGCCCATAACATATCATTAGTTTAGTATATTTATACCTTTGTATGGTTGGGATATTGATTTAGTTGGATCAAATATAGTCATAATAATGTTTTATAGTGCACGAAGTCTTGAAATTGAGCACTTCAGTAACATTGACTCCATTAGACTTTACAGCATATCCAGAAATGTAAAAATGTTGTTTTCCATCGTAATGGCCCATAGCATATCAGATTAGTATAGTATATTTATGCAGTTATAAAATTATCATAGGCTAATCGACACTCTTCTTTCAATCGGTTGTTGTTCTGTTCCAATCCACGTGAAAATAATGTTATGTTAAATTTGTTTATTATGTGAAATTAATGCTACAACATATCATGAATGACTTAAATAGCAAAATTCATAGCATACATTTTGTTGTTTTTACAGTTGATGAACGTTGTGATATGGGGTTGGATGAAAAGTTGCTGGATAATCTCACCTCTCAGCCTTCTTTGAAGTCAAGGGGTCCAAATACAGGTTACAAATCTTCTACAATTACAGACAATGGTCTGAGCGTTTTTCTAGTAGTGTATGTGCACGAACTAACCATGCTTTGTGCTAAACCTAATCGCTTGGTGTTACGTATTTACAGAATTTTACTGTCTCTGTGGACGAATCAGCTAAAAACATGTTATGTTGTATACTTTTATTTTCCCTATGCTATAGATCTGATTTTCACTTTCTGGAATGTTTTCTGTTCCGTGATGGAACTATTTTCCAAAAATACCCCATGGATTGGATCCTGTCTCTAGTATGTTTAAACAGGTTTGTGATTTAGGAGTTGGATTCTATTTTTTTTAAGTAGAATGTAATTATTTGTATTTGGTGTCATCTGTTTTTATCTTTTTGACGCAATGCAGCATGTTGCTGCTGAAGGCACAACCTTGGTCAAACAGGCAGAAGATACTGCAAGTAATAAGAAGGCAGAAAAGAGATTGCAGGTTGATCCTGCTACGTGGCCAATAATGATCTTTAGGTTCTACTAGAAGGATTGGAGATTGCAGTTAAGCTTCTATCTAAGACTTCACGCCAAGGACTTGATGAATTTAAGATATCATATTTTGGCATGGCTAGAAGCTTTGGAGGAAACGAGACTCAAGCAAAAGTAAACACACAGAGAGTTGTTGGCACCTAGTAAGCTAGATAATGCAATTGTATATAAATGAGTTCATTTTTTTATAACATTTACTCACTATTGGAATAATAATTTGTATTTGACATATTAGTGAAACGAATTATATTTGTTATTTATGGTATTTTATTTTGCATTATGAGATTTATAATGTATTATTTAATTTGAAAATTAGTAAATCTATAAATAATATATTTTTTTTAAACATTTAAAATTATGATACGCAAAAATGTGTGCATCTTCATTTATGACATGGTCTTTTTTGACAGGGGCTTTCTTGATACGCATTGCGTGTCATTAACACGCGCGTCGTAAGGTTACGACACGTCAATGCGTGTCGTCTTTCTTTATGACATGGCCTTCCATGATACGCATTGCGTGTCGTAAACGCGCGTCGTAATTGCGTGTCGTAAATGAGCGACGTAAATGCGCATCGTCTCTCTTTATGACAGGGCCTTCCTTGACGCGCATTTGCGCGTCGTCTGAGCCTTTTACGACGCGCAATGAGCGTCGTAAAAGGCTGTTTTTCTAGTAGTGTTCTGGGTTTTGGCGCAGGAAATGATATGAAGTTCGAAACAAATTTCATCACTATAACAAGTGAAGGCTTCGTCAGAGGGAAAGATTGAGATGAATCGCTTTCTCAAAGAAAAGGATATTAACACGATTTGGAGCTTAACCATCCTGTGTCGATTAGGACATCGAAGCTTTTCATGGAGATTGATATGAAATCGATAGGGAAAAGGAATGTTTGTCTAAGTACATCCTATGATACATGTTTTTAAGACAAAACAGTGATAGTCTTCAACTGATAAATGCTTGTTGCCACTAATACTGAAACTGAGATTACATATATTTCAGAAACCTCGACCTAAAAGTAGGTCTAAATCATGCTAATACAGAGGACATCTTGGCAACAAGAAAGACAGAGATGTTTACGGAAAATAACTACTCAGAATATAGATATGAGAGTTATTCCTTAGACCAAAAAGGAAGGATGAGTAGAGTACTTCCTAATGGTGACGGGCACTTCTCGGATGGATCCTTATGTTAGCCAGCTGGTGCTCCATGTCAAGCAGGCGACTCTCGTATACTGACTGGCGTGCTCGGAACTCTATGACCTCAACTCGAGTGGTAGCTAGCTCTCGTTGCAGAGCTTCATTATCTCTCATAGTTCTCCCGTGAGCAACTTCGATATTGCGAATGCGGTTTGTGTTGGCATCCAAGTCTGCCTCAAGCTCCACAATTCGTTGAATGGCCGCGACATTTTGTTCAACATTGCGGGCCACTCAGCCGACTATGATTAGAAGGGCTCTGTTTGTGGAACCTCCCTCGTTCACCTTGTAGAAGCGGCGATCCCCATCGTACGGGCGGGGTTGGCTTTGCTCGTGACTCCACCTATCCAGGATTCCAACCCACATAGGCGTTGGGCCTTCGAATTCAAGTCGAGGGTTAGGATTTGGTATCGGGGCTACTTGAGGTAGGTTCTCGACTTCAGGTTCTGAGTCGGTCTCTTCGGGGAATTGTTCTGCGAAGTCATCGTCCAAGGGAATTTCATGGTTCTCTTCTAGTGATGGTTCGATCCATCCATCATTTCCTTGGTTGGGAAAATACGGTTCGCCAGGGAGATAGAGTCCGGCCATGCTATCTACGCGAGATGGTGGAAAAAGGGATAGTTAATAGGCATCGAATCTAATTATACTGCCAATGTATTATAGCTACATGCTTGATTCTTGAAGAACGAATCCTTGGGTAAGTTTCCGGTTTGATCGTTATAGCATCTTAAAATACTACTATAGTATTTTGACCCTTATGCTTGATTCTAGAACTCTTCTGGTGTCTAGGTAAGTTTTAGGCTTGCTGCAACACCACAATCACTCCCAGGCACATGCTGGTCATGTCTCAAATGAATATAGTTGATCAGGCTATATTGACCCTAGACATGATTACATAACTGCCCAGGTTTATCCGCGATATCCAACATCCAAATACTTTTGTTTTGTTCTCTTTATGACACGGATTTTAGTACTCGGGTATACTTATATACTTTGTTATAATAATACTTATATTTTTGGAAAGTATGATTTTAGTTTAGAGCACTTAGTCCGTTTTAGGTTTATAGTTGTATACTGTGTAAGGTTCGGTATACTTAGTTTTCTATAAACAAGGGCTCTGATACCAATCTGTCACACCCCAAACCGGAACGACGGAAACGTTCATGGGTGGTTGACGTCATGCGTAGTATCACAACAATTGTATCATAGCAAGCATAGTAAACACAACCAAACATTGAATAAATATATGAATAAGGTTTACATTGTCTCAGTACATAGTTTTGTTCATATCAAAAGTAGAATAGAAAGACGTGACTCTAACGCGCCGACTTCTCCAAAAGTCCTGGAAGTACCTGTCTACTAAATCCCTAAGAATACAAGTAATTTTTAAAGAATATCAGCATAAAGCTGGTGAGTTGATAAGCATTTAGTTTTGATGGAAAATGTTTCCTTGAATCCTTTTGAAAAGTGTTCCTCAAGAAAATCCTATATTTTCTTATAAAAAGCGTGTTTCAAAAACCATTCCTTCCATGACATCCAGATTCATACAAGGTATGTAGAATCCAAGGAGTAGTGGAATGAATATGAATATTCGTTACTTACATGTAAAAACAATCCGTTTATGAATAGTCGAGTTATCCCGGGAAAATCCTATATTTTCCCTAAAAGTTGATGGTTGATTATCCGTTCTAAACTGAGGTGTACAAGTATCTACCATACTTATATCGGTAAACGTAGTTTTCCTTAAAAAAACCCCGGTTACTCCCAGTGAGGTATATTAGCCCTATTTTATAAATAAAACTAATAAAAGAAAACGTGTTGAACTAATTCCTGAAGGTACTATTAATACCCTCCAGTAATCAAATCAGTTATTACTTTGAGATTAGTTTACTTGATTCATTATTACAAAAGTAAATCCTTGCTATCTAGGTTGTGAGTGCCATGACAATAACTGACTGGATATGGCCCACAATGGCTAATATCCTTTATGACTTTGTCACCCGTAGACCTGACGGTCCGATTGCACCTAGCAGCAAGGTGCAGGATTGCCAGTCCCATATAGATCTATACAAAACAATCACGCTCTCCCTACAAGAGACTCTAGTTACAAGTGCTAATCCTACACTCTGTTTCTTGTGGTGAGTGTTACCAAGGACGTGTCTCCAACTTAGACTAACAAATTTACAAGTAATAATATAGAAATTCCTATTGTGATTAGCATGAATCCTTTATAAAACGATATATTTTGATACATGATTCCTAAGTTCATTGCACTAGATTTCAAAAATGTTTCTACGAGTTGATGTGTTAATCGTTTGGTAAAACTGTTTTTCATGTTAAAAGTATTATGGAAATATAATTATCTTAAACAAAATAATATACTTGGAGCACAAGTTTCCATGTACTTTTTCTTGTATTCCCCCCTGAAAACATGAAAAACTCGGAAAAACGTAGGGGTATGAACTCACCTTGGGCGATTTGAATGAAAGATTGATACGGAATGTCGGATGTTCAAGTGAAGCCTTCAACACGATTGGATCCTAAGTAACATGTAATGATGCATAAAGGAGACAAATGAAGGTATTTATCTACTAAATGTGAGATAGAACCACTCTAAGTACCTGGGACTACCTACACTAAGTGCTATAACCTTAAAGGATTGAATCTCGGGAGGTGTATGGCCACCTTAAAGGTGTGTACGACCATGGGTGTGCGGCCGTACACTCATGATGGAAGGTAATTTTGCGGTGTTTTCAAGGTCCATATTTGCATCCATGAAATGTTCTAGGTCCAACTCGAATATGGAAGCCTAATTCTCACTTTGGAAGGTCTTTTAGGAGTGTGAGGCCACCTTGTGTGGGTGTGCGGCCGCACTCCATCAAAATGATGAAGAACATGACTGGACTCAATGATTCTAGGCTTAGATTAAGTGGTTCTTCAAGACAACAAGCTAAGGGATGGATTACTCATGTTTTTGAAGCTTTGGGGGCTTTGTGGTTGAAGAAGCTTGAGAGAAATGGTGTTCTGTGCAGTTGAGGAGAGGGAAAATGAAGTGAAAATGAGCCTCATCTATATATAGATAATGGGTGTGTGGCCACACACTCATAGGTGCAGCCATACACTCGGGTGTGCTACCACACAATCATGTGTGTGGCCATACACTCAGGTGTGTGGCCACAAACTCCTTTTGATGGAGTGTTTGGCCTTTTTGCAACCTTAATCTTAAATCAACCCATCCCTAATTCAAACTTTGGTTGTACAAGGCGTTAGATCATCCAAACAGGCTTAAAACAATGCTTAAAGATAGCTAAAATGAGTTTAACATTGATAGAATTGGCTAAGTGTACAAGATAAAAGTTTCAGGTTGTCACAACACACATCGGTGTGTAAGAAAGCCAACAAATCCTCACCCCTTTCACATGTACCAGTGAAGAGTGACTTGGTCATCTTTACAAGCAAACAAGATTCACATGTGTCATCTGACTTTAGGTCAAATGACTCCAACACTCCATCCTTTTGGATTTGGCTATGCGCTTCTTGTTGACATGTCCAAGACGATAATGCCACAAGCATGCTTTGTCCAAACACTTGGACGAATCAATATGCAATAAATTATTTCCTAAGTTGTCTACAACCATCACAATTTCATATATAAAATTACAAGGCAATGCTTCAAAAATAAAAATACCATTATAAAAAGCTTTTATAGAACCAATTTCATTATTAAATGAAAATCTAAAACCTAGTTTATACAAACCATGAAAGGAAAAAAAATGATTCTCGCCATATCGGACAGGTAACAACAATTATTCAAATCTAATTCTAACCCACTACTAAGAAATAAGGAA